GTATTCAATTCTGAACAAAATACTCAATCGGCCGGGCGCCGTAATGAAAATCGGAGCAAATGTTACCAAGTCATAACTGATGAAAAATCAAATGAGGTTTCACACATCAAAGTAGAGGGGACACTTGTTAAAATTGCCGGTTTCATTTTTGTAGTATATTATCTAAAAGATATAAACTAGTGTTGAACCTCTTCTTTTTCAAAAAATAAACAAAATACTTCTGGGGCATCTGCTTCTTGTCTTGATTGTTAAAGAGAAATAGAAGAAGAGATAGAAGCTTCAAGCTCAATTTTGAAGGAAGTTGCATCTTTTGGCTTGCTTTTGCCACGATCGCAACCCCCTCCCCCCGACTGAAAACCGTTATTGTTTTTTGGCGATCGCACCCCCCCCGCCCCCCCCCCCCCCCCCCCCCGACTGAAAGTTGGCTAAGCCCCTGAACATGGAAAATAGGGGCACTATTACGCTGCGTGCAGAGTCTAATTATAAACTACGAGAAGACGAAACACTCATTTAAGAAGTGAAGTCGAACAAATGCAAAGGGTAGGGTACTATAGAACGGGATCATATAAAAGCACGATCTATTTCACAACGCCTTTAACTTTTGTTCTTCAACTGTTGCCCTTTGTGCATTTCAAAAATAAGATATCTTAATCTGATTTGTTCCACCTTTCTTTTCGCTCAGTTCTGCAATATTATGTCCACATGTTGTTTATGTCATTTGCGAAATAGATGTAAGACATTATGAGAATGAATATGGGAGTTTCCAAGATAATGTTGTTCATATGATTTTATACACATACCGTACCTGCATAACAATCGGAGACAGAAGTCTTAATATAGTCCAATAAAAAAATAAGAATCTAACATTTAATGATAACAAAAGGATTAATTGCTTAGTTCTCTTCGTCTTAGTCTTTGTTTTCTTAAATGCGGAAGTTTACCAACATCACCTAGATTACATAAGAGATCATCTAACAGTCTAAAATTGCTTTTAATTGCAAGTTAATGCATTCCGACCAAAATTTGTATACCTGTAATTTGGGGGGGGGGGATGTTACATCACATAACTACAACGTTCATATAGAAATATACAATAAGCATATCCATATAAAAGCTAAAATTATAAAAACTCATTTCAAAGTCATTCTGTTCATGGAAGCGTCAAGTTATGAAAAACAATGCTAAACACTCAAACAAATCGACTTGATTACCTTTGAAAACTTCTTGAGAGGAAATGGACAAATGTATTTTTCTAACTCATTAGAACGTCTGTCTGATTGAAATACTATTTTTTAAATACAAACATAAATGATTTAATCTTGGTCAGAAGTCTGAACATTGTCCAACAAAATAATAAGAATCTAACATTTAATGATTACAAAAGGATTAATTGCTATATAGTCTTTGTCTTAGTCTTTGTTTTTCTAACGGCGGAAGTGTACCAACATCACCTTGATTACAGAAGAGATTGTCTAACAGTCTAAAATTGCTTTTAATTCCCGGGTTTTAATTACATTTTATGCATAGACTTTTTTGCCTCTATTCTCATTTTTAAACCTGTTTCTGTTTGCTTATTTAACAATTGTGATAAATTATTCAGTTAGTGTCGAAATCAAAACAATTTTCTACATTATAGTCCCCTCCTCTTGCACTGACTAAATATTAAAATAAGCCAGTCTGATTGCGAATTTACAAATCCTGTAAAAGTAGCTCCAAACCGCCTTTTAATCAGAGAAAACAATACGTTAATTCATCTGATTGCGAAAATACGAATCAACCTGATTATCTGATCTCCATGCTATTTGATTCGTGCATTATCTACAAGTCAGTCGGGCAAAGGTGAAATTATTTCATTTGAAAACAGAAATAAATATCAGAACCCCTCTAGCATAATTATTCGGAAGAAATTCATACAAAAAATAAGGTACACAACTGATGAAGGGTCGCACACAATGCACGCACCCCTCTCCTCCTCCTCCGTGTTTGCCCACACACAACCATATTTGACAATTTTTCTAAAAGCGTTTTTCCCGGGAATATAGGTGTAGCGGTTGCCAGAAGTCGCACAGCTTGGGAGTCAGGGTATCCTGATCCATGCCTCAACGCCTGACGGGTCTGATATTTAGAGGGGGCGCAAGAATTATTAGGGGGCGGGGTAAACGTGAAAGTTGCCAAAATATCCATAGGCGTAGCCAGGAGGGGGGGGGGGTGCGATGGGTGCGATAACAATAGGCTTTATATATGCTTTAATGTTTTATTTATCATGATGCTTTTATGTAGGCTATTAATTACAGTTCTTTTTGCAATATAAAACTGGTATGTTTATGCAAATTCCGATTGGACTAATATAAAGGGATATTGTTTCATTATGTGGACTTGAGAAAGTCCGACATACTTATTGCTTTCAACCCAAAACTTAAAATAGGAAGTTATCAAGATCCCAAGAACACGATCGCTACTTAAACAATACGTTTGTAAAATCCCGGCGATCGAAATGCGATCAAACTTTCGCAATCAGGTGCCTAATTAGTCTTTTGATCTCTAAAGTTTTACGACTGAACGTTTCAATGAACTCGTGAGAAGCAAATGCAATCATCATATAAACATTTTTCTAGTAAATCTAAAATAGAGTAAAACCCAGGGAAAAAGATCGCGTGTTCATAGGAATTAGGCATATTTCAATTTTGAAATAACAAAAGTCAGTCTCGGAAGAATTTTCCAAGCATTCCCTGCTTCGATGCGTTTTTATTGCAAGGGCCGTTTAGCGCCGATATGAATTCATTAGGGCATTAGGGTTGTGCTTTATTTGTTTTATTTATATAAATGTTATGAAATGTGTACGACACTTTAATGAATTATTTTTAGGGCTACAATGCATATTTGACTTTTCCCTCTAAACGTTTAAAATTCATCTTTATACTTTTCTTAGTTTGATTCAATAAAATTAACATTGGATCCCAGACAGTTATCAAATTCTCAGACATTTGATTAATATAGATATTTGTACTTCCTTTGACCAGTGGTGCTGGTGTGACTGAGATTCGAATCTAATCTGTTTCATTTTTATGTAAATTGAGAGGAATAAAGTTTTATTTTAAGCGTTTTAACAATCTTAACGTTTGGCGTGCAGCTCAACTTAATACACAATCAAAGGTCAAATACAAAAATTAGAACATGCCTTTTATTTGTTATTCAAGCTCGAGCAATATCCCCGTTATAAAACCAAAATAACTGCGGTTAGGTACCATATCTTGATTACAGTAAAGACAGGCCATCTCATTTTGGTATGCCAGAGCCACTCTTATCTGCCGATTGTGGAAGGATAAAGACAAAGGGGTCGCGGCTATCGTACCCTTTGCATTCGTTTGACTTCACTTCTTAACAGAGCTTCGTTTTCTTAGTTTAACTAGACTCTGCACGCAGGGTACGGCTATCGCGATGAGGCCATCTTATTTCTAGGAATTATTTCTGCCTCTCATTCCTTAAACCGGCTTCGTTAAACAGTGCCAAAATATATAAGTCGGAGCCAAAAACAAACTATTTTTATATTTAAATCCCCTCACCTTGTCAATGTCTATGCCTGCATCTGGTTTTCCCACCTTTGGAAGGGAGCCAATATACACATAGATTACTCCCCGCATTCTAGTAGAATTTAAATATTTGATCCAAAGGAGTTATTTTAAATCAAACTTGCATTCCGATTAATTAACACTCCAATGATTGTACCGCTTCACTATTGTCTAAGATACTTATAATGAATTCACGGGACACTATAGTCTTCCTTTTAAACTTTAGTGGTTAGATGGAGACTTGTTTCCCCACCCCGTACACTAGCAAATTTGTAAATTTTAAATATTTGATTTAGGGAGGTATTTGCAATCCAACTCTGATGATGCAAGACTAGTCAGCCAAGACTAAATTATGAACTTATTATCATTTAGACTATTGAACTATTGACTATTAAATTATAATTCCATAGATATCATATTTAATCCTGTCAACACAATAATGGTATTAATTGGCATGACATGTAGTCAGAGACGGTTTAAAAAGTTGTTTAGATTAATGATAGTATTAGGAAAAATCCCAACTCAAAGTTTTTGTTCTCTCGCAATCCAGAGCAAACCACTCGCCGGGCAAGCATTCTTTAAAAACGTGAAGTTTTCACCATGTTGAGCAGTTTTGAAAATTGTCCAATTTGAACCATCGCCTAGTATATTTCTGTAACTGCCCCTCCCCCTTGACACTCGAGTGTAAGAATCCTTTCCACACTGTCAATGGTTTTACAAAATAGTTCATGTCAGGAAGGGGGAGGGGTGAGTGTGGAGAACAATCACTGACTGCGATTTGTATGATTGAACATTATACACTTATCATAAATTCGTAAAGAATAGTTTTAAAATAAACAGCTTGTTTTATGTTATGATTGGAGTGATGTATGCATAGAAGAATGACACTGGTTTTGAAATATCTTAATTATCCCATTGAATGAAGCCATCCGTCCCTCTGTCCATTCTTAACTCATACTAGTGGACTGATTTGATTTAAAGGAGAAGTCTCGGTGTAGAACGTGTACACACTAATGGGAACGAATTTTACTCATTTCTATTTAGGATTCGTTCATATACTAGCGGGGCTTTAGAGCATTTACAAACGCACGAATTGTATTGTTTTAAGGCAACTTTTATGACATATAATCATTATATTTAAAGCTGATTAATTTTAGATTATATTCGGTTCAATTTTACAAATAATGAATAGTATTACAGTATATCGAAAAATGTACAATGATTTACATTAAATTGCGCAGACTGCAAACAATGTACATGGTTGGCGAATTTGCATGCGCGTTCTTGATAATAAGAATTAAAGGTTGAACTTGAGAATCAAACATTTTCTTTTCTAAACATAATAAATCTTTAAATCAAGAAAATAAAAATAAGATTGATGATTGAACTTTTCATAGTCAACTGCGACTGTGTCGACGCATGTTTATTTACTTAGCTAATTAGATATGTAAAATTGTTAATGGCCGCAACGGATAATACGTACATGTAAGCTGTTCGGATAAGACATTTCTATATGATTAATAACAAATCCCGGGCAGAATGTTATTCAACAGTAACTGATCTTATTAATTATTATTCAATTTGGATAATAAATCTATTATCTCGTCGTATTGATGTTTATTATATAGTGTTTCTCGTTGTGTATGTACAAATCACTTGTTTGCTTATTAGATAAATACAGACATCCATTATTTTTGAATGCTCTTAATGAGGACAAATCAATATGTCATTTTAAGTCACAAGCTAGAAATTTCCAGCTATTTTGGCTTCAGAAAATTCACATCTAAAAGCCGTAAGTTTCAAGATTTTACAGGAGCATACAGTGTATGTACATACTGTATAGTCCATTTCTAGGGCATTTTGTAAGATTGGTTTGTTAGAGATTCGGTCCAAGGGGAAGATCTCCTACGGTGTACTGTACAATACTGTCATTTCGGGCGAGTTTACCCAACACCTTTCCATTTACAGTCCAGGCTTGGGATATACCATCATGCTGTTTGAGCTCATAAAGAAGTTTCCTGTTTGCTGGAGTAAGGTCTTCATACACACGCAGATCAGATCCCTTAAGTGCCTTTTTCTGTCGGATAACAACGTCCTTTACGCCTCTGAATTTAAACTTCACCAATATCGGGCGTGGTTTTGAACGGTTAGAAATCTGAGGTTTGCCTCCTGGGACTCTATGAGCAACCTCGATGTCCCCAGGTGAAAAGTTTTGGATCTTAGTTTTGAGGTGTTCATAGACAACTTCTGCACAGTCTTCACGATTTTCAGAATTGTTTTCCGGGATACCAAACACACGTACGCTACTTTTTCGGGTTTGTTGGGCAGTATCGTTCATTGCAATAGTGAGTTCTTGCAACTTTACATTCACTGCTTTTATATCATCCTTAAGTTTCTTGTTTTCAGTTTCGATTTCGTTTAGTCTTTTGTCCGTTTTTTCACTCACTTCTACGACAGCTTTCTCAATCTCGCTTTTCATATCTGTGAAGTAGCGTTTGAACAAATTATCGAGATAGATTTTAGTGTCATTTGAGATGTCTCCTGAGGCATGTTCTTGTGCATTATTTCTCAATCAGAAAAATCTTTTGCATTTCACATTTCATTCACTTCAAGTATTAATAGCATGAAAAGCATTGAATTTAAACTAAACTATAAGCTATAAATGTGTAAAATAAGAAATAAAATTATTTTCACATTTTCTTTTTTGTGATCCATTAAATAGCAATTGATTCTATACTATATAGGCTATAACTGCAAAATAAGATATGAGTTTATATTTCGCATTATCTTTTGTGTGGTTCATTGAATTGAATATACTTGGTACATCTATTAAAACATAATTCTTATTCTATTCTGGTATATTAAGTTCTCATATAGTAATTTGGAAAATATCTTCATTCTGGAATTCCTTTTTAAACTCTTATATTAGTAATGCTGATTTATTTTTTCAGGCTATTCAAAGAGCTGATGTGGATTGCCCTATATGTCTTACAGCTTTGGTAAAAGAATCAGTGTGCACTCCATCTGTGGACAACCATCAAGCAGAGATAATTAAAAAGACACATATCACCAAAAATAGACTCACAAAATCTACTGGTAAATCAGTACATAAAAATCCAAGAGTAGAACAATTAACTAAAAAACAATCAAGAGCTGATGAAGACTCAGTTAATCTTTCAAGCAAGAAACATTCCTCTGCATTACTTTCATGTTCTCATGTGTTCCATCAAACATGCTTGGAAGCATTTGAGGAGTTTGCAGTAGGTGAGAGAAGGTTTCTCTGCCCCGTATGCAGGTCTCCCTACCAGAAAAAGATCATGCCATCTGGTTTAATATAATCTGTGCAAACTGTTAAGTCATTATTTGAATCGATTTGGTTTAAAGACATACATGTACTTGCCAACTTGTGATTTGGGTCAGGCGATCTCATGTTTTTTAGTGTATCTATTTCTTAATCTATTTCTCATTTTCTCCAACAAGGCAAAGCAAAAACATTCTAAGTCAGCCATTTATTAATGATATATTATCTTTCTAAAGAATGGAATACTTAATAGTACTGTATGTGAGGGATGCATAGCATAGCACATTATTTTACTTATATATGTATGTTAACGATTATAATACTTACAACTGAAACTGACAGATAACACCATTATTTCATTCATTACTGAAAAAGCTGTACCCGAGAGAGATTGTAAGTGAGGTTTGAATTACATAATGAGACAAAAAAGGTAACCCAAACAAATGTTTATAATTCGGTATTCAGCATGGGTTACGGTCATATTTGGCACAATTAAACTTGTTAAATGTTCTTTCATTCTCTTTCATTGGTCTATCCCCAATGGCCAAGGCCAGGGTTTCATGGTCATTTTACAAAAGCTGCTGTAAAATCCTGACGTTGTGCCGGGGCGTTGTGTCTGGAGGCAAAGTGGATTCTTTCGGGTGAAGTTGTTCACTACAAAGACACAGACATCTTGTGTAATGGCTCTCGATCATTTTTCCTCTTGCCCTGTTTCAAGGGTTGTTAGTGTAGACATTAGCCTCACAGATTTATCTCCAGTGAGTGAGGCACATTTCGGTATTATTATCATCTGTTGTAAATATCCATAAAATTGTGACCACAAGGTATAGACCAATGAAAGATGAATGAATATACATTGAACAAGGTTAAATTGTGCTAAATATTTGGCTCATCCGGCAATGAACTATTCCTTTCGCGATTCCATTCATTTTGCACGGACACCCGGGCACGGACAGCAAGACCTGAATTTGCCGCTTTTCAGGTTCACCGGTGTGAAAGAAATTATGGTCCCCTGGGGATTATGGTCCCCTCTCCTAGCGGCCCTTACTGGCCCTGACTGTGTATAAATAATAAGGAAAATAGTTGTAATTAGGTCACCATATAAATCAATAGAGAGTAGGACCAAAATTTGATAGGACCACCTACCCTTTTACACCTGGTTTCAGTGAAGTGCCTCAAGTCAAATTTGCTCTAAGGCGAGTGGGCGGCGGCCGTAGCTTAATTCCGAAAATACTTCATCCATATTTGATTTGTATGACACGATATAAAGGAATTTGTTTTCCTCAGACGTGTTAGAATAAAAAGGTCTTTGTTTAAGGTACGTAGTTTGAATTTTTTCTAAAAATAGAATCCGCTCATTTTCATAGTTTGTACATCTTGATTTACCAGAGCCTCTCTTCACCGAATATATGTTCCTTTACCTAATGCCTGTTCCAAGAGATAGTACAGGCTGTGGATCCCACAATCTTTAACCGGCGGATTCGGACTTACTGGGGATATAAAAATCAATACAGTCATACACTCACCCCTAGACCCTCACCGAACTCTCCGAAAGTTTGTTGTCCCCAAAAGACACAAAAATTTTACATTTACAGCGAATCATTCGTGGCCATTTGATTCCTTAAATAAATGTCAGCACGTCCCTAGCTTGTTTCATACGCGTTCACGTTGAATTCAAAAAAAGTCCCATTTGATGTCGCCGTATGTTATCTCGGAAAAAATTAGTGGTGTACCTTTAACTTCTTTATATATTTCATCAATAACCCCAAGGCCGTATGTGAACGCTCATTTTTTAATGAGAATTTCATTAATGTATTTTTACCAGGGCTTTAAAGAGTCCAAATGAATCATTCGATCATTACTGTCGCCGTTTTGAATTTCAATTTCCAAGTCATGTTTCTAGGTACTTCTTATCACATTTTATTCAATTTCCAAACGACTTTACTTCGTCACCGTGTGTTTCTAAGAGAAAGTGATAAACAAAACCCATCTTGAACGATATATTATTTTGTACAGCCTTTCAAAGAGGTGTCGCCAGTTTCAGAAAATTCAGAAAAATCATCGTTACTTGATTCATTCATTCCAATTATATGAGTCTGGAATTGAGATAAGAAATGAAGAAAATGTAATTTTCACCATGCTCTTTCCAAAGATTAAGGTTATAAAGCTGTATCTCCAACAGAAATAGGAGAATTCTAATGCAATAAGGCTCTATGTCCTTCATTTGAAAAAGATAGTTATTGCTATATGGTTCTATCTCTTGAGATAAAACTTTTTAACATTCAATGTCATCATTTAAATTTAAACAAAATGCTACCCACCCACATACAGACATAATGTTGCATAACCTTTTTATCTGCATAAATTCTGACTTGTCCTTTTGCATAGTAAAACTTAACTCCATGGAGCAGCTCCAAAGGAAGTTTTAGATTACTAGCTGAATTAGATGCACCTTTATCACGAGGGGAAAGTGTACACGTGTATTATAGTCATAATTTACCAGAGAAAGGGGGGACGTACTTAAGCTTACGCCAGTTTCATGCCATGTACTGTATTTGGCCAAATTAATGGGATGGACGCATTCTGATGTTCATAGATCTCTCACTTTGAATTGCACCCATTATATGGTGTAATTACCAAAATGGCAGGAACGGGGGATTTATTTTACATTGTGATTCTAAAAAGGTTATTAAAACACAATATATATTACGGAATAGTTTATTTTATCTTATTCAATCTCTTTTTTACAAGCAAAATAAAATGAAACATTTTGAAACAGATAAAATGAGTTAACGCATAGAACTTTAACGTTGTCAGAATATTTCGTCGCATTTAATTTCTTAGTCTCTGTCTCTTATCAAATCGTAAAAAAAACATTCTAAACTTCATCAATTTGGATTTATTTGTCGGCATTCGTTTCCGGCATTTTTTATGTTCTTCTCCTAAAAGGTATTTGCTTGACAATAATCAGAGAAAGTGCGTATACGTATTTAGCGTGGCATATTCTGTCACGCAAACAAACGGGTGTTCAATTTCTTGTCTGTCTGAGGACGTATTGGGAAAGAGGTAGAATTAAAGAATTCTTATGAACGAGTCATGCAAGATAGGGGGGGGGGTGTATAGAGGGTCTTGGAAATGCATATACAATATTTTTCAGCTCTCTTATACCATATACAATATTTTTTCACCCCTTTTATACCATATACAATATTTTTCACAGCTCTTTTACCATATACGATATTTTAGGTGAAATACAATATACGATAATTTTGAAACTGCTTTTGATTAAAGTTTGAATATTTATAAGGAAATAATATTAGGAGAGAATCCATGTACTAAAGTAAATGTATTATTATAAGGGAAATAGACTCCACATATATACCACAATGATTTCATTTATTACATTATGAATAAGACACCATTCGGGTACATCCGCATGTTCAGAAAAGCTGTGATCACATTTTATTTTCAGGTAAACAAGTTGATTTAAAACACATTTATGATATAAGATTCATGACTTATCTTTAGTGATTTCACAATCTACTTTGACCAAAAAACTAACTTTAACATTTCTGCAATTTGCTAAAGCCATTAGCCCATTACCTGTAAAAGTACCATAAAGATATTCAAAATTAGCACAAAACCTGCATCATTAGAATGGGTGGAACTCAGTGTTCCTCTTTCTTATGACCTACTTTCCCATGACATATTTTAATGTCAATGGAATCCTTCATAGTGAGCCAGGGAAAAAATCCTTGAAACATAATTGAATGATTGATGCAAAATTGAGAATGTGGAATAAAAGATTCATCATGTGTTCTATGAAAATGAAGTTTGCTGAGGAAAATATGTATCAGATAGGTAATGAAGATTCACAGTAGTTACAGAAACGAGAGTTCTGACGCACCTTTAACATTGAGTCCTATGGGGAGGGACACGATTTTTCATAGTACCCTCCCTAACATGGGCTCCAATGGGGAGGGACATCTGTGAGCCTCCCTGAGCTCGGGAGGCACATACGGGGACCCCACCCCTCCCCCCTCGGCGTGGTGGCGTGTACATATTTCGGGAATCTCGGGCCCTAAGGGTAACGGACGCCCTACCCCACGACTATACGTTCCGGAAGTTAGCCATTTTGACAGGAAGTCAGCCATTTTAACCGGAAGTCAGCCCGGAAGTCAGCCATTTAACCGGAAGTCGGCCATTTTGAAGCTTTCTAGCAGGAAGTCAGCCATTTTGCATCTGTCTGGGCAAGAGGATGACATCATAGCGGAAGTGAGGCATCTTTTAGTCGGCCTGGGTAGGTTTTAAAGCGGAAGTTAGCCATCTTTTCCCTACCTCCTCCCACTTCCTCCTTACCTCCTCCTTACCTCCCCCCGCCTCCTCCCTACCTCATCATTACCTCCTCCCTATATCCTCCTTACCTCTTCCCACCTCTTCCTTACCTTCTCC